AATGCATGGTCCGTGGCTAAGTCTGATTGGCACAAGACTAGGTCTGGGTAGGAACTGACGGGCACATGGCCTGGCACAAGCGCTAGGCACGGTGACTGGCACACGGTCGGGCATAGGGCCGGCTCGTGGCCTAACTGACGGGCTCATGGCTGGTCCATGGCCAGGTACATGGCCTGGCTTGTACAGCCGGCACAAAGCCTGATCCGCGACCAAGCCACAAGGCTCTTAGCCTGGCACATGGCCTGTCCATGGCCTACCCAACTCAACGCAATGATCCACGGCCGATTCGCGACTGGTCAACATTCGAGCATCAACAATCCATGGTCGACCCTCAGTTGTCATGTAGTCGCGTGGAATTGACCATAATAGGATCGGTCCATGGTTGCCCGCAATCGGTGCATGGCCAAGCGGAATCACCCGCGACCGGCTCATGTTCGCGCGGCATCAATCCATGACCGTTCGAGATCATCCCACTACCGACCCTTATGGTCGAGTGATCGATCCATGGTCGAATCGCTCTAATCAACTTGCGTGATTGGGGAGTTGTTTCACGGCTAATCACTTGGCTAGTTCATGGACAATCCTTCGATCGAACCATGACCGACTCTTTGATTACCCGTTTCGACCATACCTACTAATCCATAACCGACCCTCGGTTCGGTCTGCACACTAATTCCTTGGCCATTTTCCCTTGGTTGAGTCAAGGTCCAAATTGTGGATGTCACATGTTATGTAGTCGCGTGGAATCAAATACCATGGAATCGATCTATGGTCGCCCGCAACCGGTGCATGGTCAAGCGGAATCACCCGCGACCAACACATGCTCGCGCAGAATCGATCCATGGCCGTCAGGGATCGTTCCACTACAAACCCTTTTGGTTGAAAGTCAATCCATAGTCAAGTCACTCTAATCGACTTGCGTGATTAGGAAGTCATTTCATTGTCGATCCCTTAGCCGATCCATGGATGATCGTTCAATCGAACTATGATCAATCATTTAGATACTCGTTCCGACCATACCAACCGATCCATGACCGACCCTCGGATCGATCCGTTCGCCAATTCCATGGCCACTTTCATTTGATCGACTTGGTCCAAATTGGGGATGTCACACATTATCTACAAGCTCTATTGAAAATCCATAACACCGGTGATCCTCCAATAATCTCAACAACCTCCTCTTGCCGTCAGTCGCCGTTTGAGTCAAGAAACCAGTTTAGGTAATTTCCTAAGCTATACTTAATGTGAATATTTAATCATCTAAATTGGAATTATTTGATTCTAACTTGATTTGGCATAATTTATTTAGGCATTGCCAAATAGGCTCCCTTGTTTGAGTCGTTTAATATATGTATTTGATAATTGAGAATACGAACTTTGGGACTAAAGATTGGACCCTTAATTAGATTAATCTAATACAATCATCAATCATGTAAGTGTTAGACTTTATACGTCATTAGATTAGACATATACATCATTAAAATAAATTTAAAAAAATTACATTGCATTTAGTTTAGATTGCATTCGTGCATGTTTCTTTATTTTGAAATTGCATATCTCAGGTGCATTAGGAATCATATAGTGACTTAGGAAATTACATTATTTAGATTAGTATTTGTTCAAAAAACCTCCAAAGGTTTTAATATCGACAAAACTATCCCTTACATATTGTGGTTTGATAGATGCCAGCGTTGTATCTGATCAGGTGATTATTTGATGACTCAATATCATTGAAACTATCCTAAGTAATAAGTGAAAGAACTTGAAAGATTGGAAGTACCTTAAGGATCAACAAGTCAAAGAGAACGGGAAGTTTTTGAGATCTTGGAGAAACCAATAGGTGAAGAGATTGTGGGAGTCTAATTCACATACGTGCTTGGGAAAAATCGATGGAGTTTGATAAACACAACAATTGTCAATTAAATCATTGGACAGAACCAAGGAAAGTTGATAGAAGCTACGACTTATATTAAACCGAGAAGCTCACTTCTAATCAAGTGAGGAAGACTCAGACATTCTTTGACCATTGTTATGCACTCAAAGGAATTTGATAGCCAATCACAAGCCGGTAATTATGGGAAGATCCAATTGTATGGGCACCCAACTCTCACATGATTTTATTGCAATCTGCAACAGCTACATTGATTATCTCAAAGATCATTCAATGATCAACTTGAAGATCGGAGACTATAAAAAGGGATTAGTGCAAGCCAATGTAGACAGAGACAAGCCACGAAAATTACAAGAATATGCTCACACACTTTATGATCAATTGATTTGCTCATTAAGAGTTATACACCGATTGCTAATCTTTTAAGAAAATGTACAAGTGTTATAATAGTGCGTGTATTCTTGGTAGTGCGATCTACTGACTTTGGGTAGAACATCACAAGCTACATATGTAACATCTCAAGAGCTATTAGTGAATTCCAGCTTTGTTGGTGGCTGTTTAGTTTGGAAGAGTGGTCGTAGGCTTATTCCAAGCGAAACCACTATAAATTCACATGCATCTACTCTATCACATTTACTTGTTATTCAATTTGTCTGATAGAAACACCGCCCACATAGTTCTTGTATACATGAAGTCTGTTGTGGCACATATAAACTTGTTTCTATTCAATTCCGCAAAAAGCTGTCAAATTTTGCTAAATAACCTATTCACCCCCGATTATTTCACTAACCACAATAGGGTTTGATATAAATTATTTCATAGTTTAATTTTGGTCATCATGTAAATTTAGGTTGTTCCTTATTATAGCTCCTAAAAAATATCATAAAAATATGAGTTAATACCACGAAAAACCCCAAACTGGTACACTTACGACAAATTTATCCCGAACTAATTTTTTGACCACCAAAAACCCCAAATCAATACATCCTTGACAAATTTATCCCAAACTAATTTTTTGACTACCAAAAACCCCAAATTAGTACACTTGTGATAAATTTACCTTCCGTTAAATTGGATTAATACCATGAAAAATTAATAGAGGGGTAAAACCCCAAACTGGTATACCCGTCAACTATCACATGTCATCAAACTCAGCAATTTGACGGTAAAATTTAACGGAAAGTAACAGAAGGTAAATTGTCACAGGTATACTCGTTTGGGGTTTTTCGTGGTATTAATTCTAAAATATTGCATACATATCTCATATAGAATTAGTTTGTTCTATAATATGCACGTCACATCTTACAATTCATTTAGGGAGTCATTTAATTTATTATTGCATACATGCATGATCGCACACTCATGTTAGTGGTTTAGGCTTAAAATTGACTCAGACTGCTTGCAAAATATATTTTGAAATAAAGAGAAAAGATACCGAGAGAACATTAGATTTATCTAGCGTAATCAAGTCCTAATATAATGAAATCTCTGATTCGCATAAGTAAAATATTCTCCTATATTTTACTTGGGTTATTAACCGACCCACTATAAATTGGTGACGACTCCTACATAAACTGAATTGCATGTTTGAATGATTTAATTAAAACTCCAAAATTGCGATTAATATGGGCTAGGAGAGTCGGCACTAAGTATTTGCTTAGTAATCCATTAACTTTTCCTTGGTAATTCACCTTTAGGAAGGCCGCAATAGAGATGTACTTAATAATGGACAACCCAAAATACATCGTAAGAGTTGGCGAAAACAATATCACCGTTCTAAAATGGTGCAAGAGCAGAGTTTTGCATTACTAGATTTATGACTCACTGATCCCATTGATGTCTATGGTACCATCAGACTCTATTTCAATATTAGCCAACGAAATATGAAATATAATAGATACACCTTAACTGCGAAAAAAATGTAGAAATGACTATATGAAGGATGATTAATTAAGAATTGACTTCAGCAAAATGTGTCCAAACATGAAGAAGAGAACAACGATATTACTTTATCATCCGAATCGTGGTGAGGGAAGATATCGAATTAATCATGCATTCTCTAGGATGCAATTTGCGTGTAATCGTTATTAGGACACTTATACATGTAATACATTTTTTTTCAAATTTGAAGATGTACTCCTACTTCATCCGTGTTTAATTGAATGAGTACTTTGCTTACATGAATTTAAAGTAGAAGAAGCTAATGATTAATGAAACACATTAGCTACTACATATGCAATAAAACAACTTTCCTAAGCTACGGTCCCTATACAAGGAAAAATAAGATGAGTTTGCCAACTTTGGAAACTCTTGCTACACTTGCCAAGAAATACAAGAATTACTTGACTGGTTTTGATCTGATCCAAAGTAATTTCCAAAAATTGCTTGGCTGTAAACAGATATTTTTCCCAATATTACAAAGAGTCTCTTTTATGCTAAAATATTATTATATTTCCATCTTTTCTCACAATTTTTATCGAACTCCGTAATTATTCAACTTTGTTTTTTATGTTTTTTAGTCCTAGGTTACTCTTCAGTCTAAAAACAAGGGAAAAATGCCGTGTGTGCTCATCAATTATGATGATGCGAGATCCAGTGATCGGCCGCCGTCCGTTTAGGTTTGATGACGAGACAGATATCTTCTTGTGGGATGAAAGTGTGCTTATCATGTGTTATCTTGAGAAGATATAAATGAAATATTTACTTTCGACAAAAAAAGAAAACATAAACAACTTCCGTTGTGGCATGAAAAACCTCGGCACTAAAGATAGATACTTTGGTCCTTAAGCCAGACCTCGAATCCTCGGGATGTTAAACTATTCCCTCATGCCCGGGGAAGATAAAGACTTGGGTAGGAATTGAGGGTAGAATGTGTGGGTACCGGCACCTTAAAACTCGAGCCGGGCCTTGGATCCCCGGGACGTTAAACTATTCTCTCATGCCCGGGACAGATAAAGACTCGAGTAGGAATTTGGGGTAGAATGTACCTTAAAACTCGAGCCGGACCTCGGCTCTCCAGGAAGTTAAACTATTCCCTCGTGCTCGGTGAAAATAAAGACTCGAGTAGGAATTAGAGGTAGAATGTATGGGTACAGACACCTTAAAATGAATTCCTTTCTTGAGGATGCCTCTTAACCGAGGGCTACTACTACTTAAAACCCACGGCCACAACATCGTCACCCGCTTCTCCGTCGCGACAGCCTCGTCTGGTGGGGTTGCGCGAACTCCCGAGTTCAAAGTGTCGCGGTCTCGCTGGACACGACGAGCCCTTCAACGACATCTCCCTCGTAAACCCACGAAGCCCAGAAACACTCCCTCCCTCTCTCTCTCTCTCTCTCTCTCTCTCTCTCTCTCTATCTCTCGCTGGCTTCTTCTTCTTCAGCGATCTCGGCATGTAAGGCTCTAACATCGATTCCCTCTGCTTCCTGTCCTGTTTAGGTTTTCGAGTGGTGGTGGTCGTCGTCCTCCTCCTCCTCCTCCTCGTTCATTTCCTGGTCATTTGCTGCGCCTCCCCTGTTTTGTTTTGTTTTTTTTTTTGGTTGAATTTCCTTGGGTCGAGATTGCTTGTTGCTCTGTCTGGACGTCGTTTTCTAGCAGCAGATGGTTTCGGCGGCACCTTTTTTTCCTTTTGTGTTTTTTGACTTTTATCCATCGTTTCCCGCGCGCGAGATCAAATTCTCTCTCTCTCTCGCTCGCTATTGGGTTTGCTTTCGCCGAGAAGGGCTTGCAATTCGGGTTCTTTTTCATCGTTCTGTTTTGGGGTCGTCCGGATCATTTTCTGTGTAGGCATGCATCGACCGCATTTCGTGAATTATCGACCGTATAGCTTTGCTTTGCTGTATGGCTGATTCGGGTTTTTGATATGGCTTGTTAGGGATTTTGCTTGAGATCGCATACTTGGTTTGGTTTGGTTTTGTTTTTTCTGGGTTTTTAAGTTTCATTTTATGATTAAATGGCGGGTTCCCTCTATCTCGATTTTGCGACTCGCGCTTATCTGCATCTTAATGTATGCGAATTTGTCGACATTGGAAATTACCTGATACATATGTGAAAAGCTAAACTGGCATCTGGTACAGCCTAGTCGTGCATTCGCATTCGCCGTAATCCTCGATATTATTTTTCGGCTACTCAGTTGACCACAAATTAGTCATTTGTTTTGTTCCCCTTCTCAAAGCGTCAATTTCGGCGTCTTTTGGCACAACTCATAACAGTTTCTCAATTAAGCGCGATTGGGTTCTGATCTTTGTAGCGTAGTTAATCTTAGTAGTCGTACTAATTGAATAATGTGTGTTTGTGCAAGAGTGTTACGTGTTAATTTGTTCAGTGCCGCTGGTTGGATTAATTTTTATGGAAGTTGTTGGAATTTATTTCAGGATGTACTAAAGGAATGACAGTGGCTGAAGATGTCCATTTAAACAACGGTTCTAAAATGGTTTCTCAGGCAACTCCAGAAAGTCGTCTGACAGGTGGAGAAGCTGATAACAGTCCGCACAATCAAAGTAACGAGCTCCTCTGTCAGGAATTACCGGAAAGGCATGTGATATTGGAGTTTGATGGCACCAGATCTAAGCCTTATTTTAGTGATCATCGCGGGGGAGAAAATAGTGCATTTGGTGCGAGAGCTGCAGAAGATGATTTGAATTCTGATGTGGTAAGTGAATTCCCTGTGTTGCCTTCATTTGAAATGCGCATGCTTTTGACAATGGTTTTATATCTGGTGGCGTCTTACATATGCGGTGCATTACTACAGGAGGCGGGAAAAAAGCAGAAAGAAATGACCTTAGAGGATATGTACAGGAATGATGGTGCTTTAGACGATGACGACGAGGATGACAGTGATTGGGAACCCTTGAAAAAGCAAGTGGAAATGGTGAGGTGGTTTTGCACCAACTGTACGATGCTCAACGTCGAAGATGTCTTTAACTGCGATGTACGTATATTCTTAATTGTGACTTGATGCTCATGAGAGAGAGAGACCTGCAAACTCTAATAATTTTCTCGATTTTCTTCTATCCAGATATGTGGGGAACATAGAGATTCAGGTATCTTGAGACATGGCTTTTATGCATCTCCATTCACGCAAGATATGGGTGCTCCTAGCATTGAAGCAGAAGTACAGGAATTATGTGAAGGTGGTTACATATTCTAGTCTAAAGCAGTGTTTACCTTTTGGCTGAAAGTTTATTTATTCTCTTTGTGACACCAAATTTCATTTTCTTTCGTGGAAAGGTCAAATGCTGGTTGTTTTCTACCTTTTTGTAAATGAATATGTATTTCCGAGGATCTTAAAAAGGTGATGACGTTGTAGCCGTAAGTTCATGAAAATTTCATTTGCTTATGATGGATTATATTGGTGTATAGGGGTTCAGGGTGCGTGCATATGGGAGAATGAAGTAACTTGTGGGGAGCCTCTTTGGATGGCAGTACTGAAATTCTAGGGACTAATTCAATGGATATTGTCATATTAACTTCATAAAAGTAGGGTGCAAAGTGCAATTTCTCCTATTATTAGATGCACATTGTTTCTAGATTAAAATGGGAGATGCTTTTAAAACTTCCTATTGAAGATTTACCCTGCATGGTGTTAACATCGCCTTGTCTTGTTGCACTGGTACGTTATGTGATGATAGACCTTACCTTCTTGGAGTCCTGTTTTGGCGTAATTATTTTCTCTTTGCATACGTAGATCATGCCAGAAGTTCTGCCCCAAGCAGTTCAACTGTTGTGGGTTTTGATGAGAGGATGTTGCTACACTCAGAGGTATGGTGCTATACCATTTATTGAGCTATTTCTTTTACAGATATCGATACAGCTGTGGGAGATTGCATACTGATGTCTCCTCTTGAAGATTGTTTAATGCTTTTGTAAGTGTCTGAGTGTGTATAAGCAGTGAAGTTTTTGGGATAGTGGGTCCTCAAAGCCAACTGCTCTGTGCGTGTAATCTTTTATGTTCTTTCTTGGAAGAGATGGAGGAAGTGATATCTTTTTGGGTGCACTGGGTGGTGGGGGTGTTAAGCAAGTCTACTAATCTTATTTTAATGTGGCGACAAGATCTTGAAACACTAGGGGTAGTTCCTTGTTATTAAATATATCTGCAACTACATTTGGCTTGCGTTTCTCATTGTTATGTCAGCTGCACTGACTTCATTCTGATAAAGACATAATCGTGATTTCTGATGCTATAAGTTTTCTAAGGTTTCACCTCTTTTTCTTCTATCTCTTGATGATCATCGGTTCTTTTTTTTTTCCATTGCTATGCTAGAGTAGGTTGAGATGAAGTCACATCCTCACCCTGAAAGGGCAGACCGTCTTCGAGCCATTGCTGCTAGCCTTGCTACTGCTGGTACTTCTTTTCTGTTTTGGGTGAATAACTAAATAAGTTGGTTCCTTTAACTACTTTGAGGTTGTTTATTTATGTAATCCTCGATAATTGTCTTCTCTACTTGTGCCTTTCTCTCTGTTTTCTTGCTGTGGTTTCATTGGCACATGCACACAAGACCTTGCACGCAGGTTTATCATTTTCTGCGGATAGCTGAGCATTTTGTGATTTTAAATTCTCAGGCATATTTCCTGGAAGATGCCGTTCGCTTCCCGTGAGAGAAATTACAAAAGAAGAGCTGCAGATGGTACGCAAGACTATTCTGGAGTTGTGTAGTGACATTCTTCTTTTCACATTCATGTTTCGTGCAGGCACATAGGCAGCAGAGATAGTACAAAATTAGTAATATGCATTATGATATTCCTGAAATCATTTATCTTTCTGTAGGTTTTTCTTTTCTTGTGATAGAGTAACAAAGATCCTGTTGGTTTTATGTAATTTTAACATTCTTTTGATTGGTGCTACAATCGTGTTTTTGATATTTCAAACGTTCAGGTCCATTCTTCAGAACATATTGATGCTGTTGAACTGACAAGCCATATGTTTTCTAGGTATCTCTCTCTCTCTCTCTCTCTCTCTCTCTCTCTCTCTCTCTCTCTCTCTCTCTCTCTCTCTCTCTCTCTCTTAATGCCTTAAAAAAAAATTGTTTGCGGAAGGCATTTAATTAGGGAGACTTGTTTTATTATTCATTTCACACAACAAAGGTGCTATATAAAAAGAGATTTTTAATTGTATTAGAATATATTTATTCATTTGGCAGGTGAAATATTCATGTGGCAGGAGAACAAATCAAAAGTTCTGTAGGATAGCTTTTTTTGGTTCTCGACTAATTGTTTTAGAAGTTTTTATCCCCTATGCACTGTTTGAAATTTTGGAAGTAGACATGTTTCTGTAGTTTTAACTTTGAAGAGAGGAATTCTTATCGTTCTGATGGAGTTTGAATTAGCCAGAGAACAAGTGGGAAAGAGTCGTCACCCCCTGCCTCTATTATTCTTGATGTTGAACATCTTTTGACCTAGTCTGGTGGAGCTCGTAATACTTGGTTGTTTATGATGGGCAGCTACTTTACTCCTGACACATATGCGAATGAACATTCAGCGCGTGCTGCTAGGATTGCAGCTGGTTTGTGTGCTGATCTCGCCTCAACAATTATTTCTGGACGTTCGAAGAATGGTTTTGCTCTGGTATGTTTGATAATCTATTTGTCAGCCACTGTCCAATCTATTTCTATGAGAATTTTACTCATTGTCTCCTTACAAAATACTTGTCATTAATGAGCCATTTAGGTTCGTCCTCCTGGTCATCATGCTGGTATCAAACATGCCATGGGGTTCTGCCTCCACAATAATGCAGCGGTTGCTGCACTAGCAGCACAAGCTGCCGGGGCAAAGAAAGTGCTTATAGTTGACTGGGTAATGCATCATATGTCTTCGTACTTGATTTGCTGCCGTCGATGCGAGGACGTGCTATAGTTTGGTGCTTGAGGGGCATACATGAGAAGCTTCTTTCAAATGTTTCAGGATGTTCACCATGGAAATGGCACACAAGAGATTTTTGACGGAAATAAATCGGTGAGCTTTGCATGAGTCAATACTATTTTCTCACGTTGATTATCACCTTCTTGATGTGTTTTTCCAGTTATTTTGCTAGAGGAAGTGATATGGGGTTGGCTGTCACTTCTGTAATCTGCATGGAGTTTAAGTCGCTTTCTGTTCTGAACATATTATGTTTTCTAACTTCAACATGAGTTGATGGAAGTCAGCCGGAATTTTCATTAAAAATATGTAGCCAAATTTAGTGTGGACTGTCATTTATTGCTGGATATCTTCTGGGGATGCTCTGAGTGATGATACAGTCAACATATTTCTTCTGTTACGGTGTTGAAATTGATTAGGTGCTGATGGTTTTGGCCCATTGATAGGTCTTATACATATCCCTACATCGACATGAAGGAGGAAACTTTTATCCCGGTACAGGTGCTGCCCATGAGGTAACTGATTTCTTTACGTCTATCAATTTTTTTGGTTACTTTCTTAACGCATTGTTTTTTATTTATGAATCGATTTTGCTTCTGGACGGCATTATAAACAAGGTGATGCTGTAAAAATGCTAATAGTTCAAGTACTATGCTTTCTTTTTTTCTGACAAATGGTCATGATAGTGAATTTTGTTTTATTAGGTTGGTACCATGGGTGCTGAAGGATACTGTGTGAATATTCCATGGAGCCGTCGAGGAGTTGGTGATAATGATTATGTTTTTGCATTTCATCATATAGTGCTTCCTATAGGTAACTGTCAGCTTATGGTGAACTTTTTGCCCTTTGACACATGAATAGCACAGTTATGTACCTTTTCTGCTAGTATTGGATAAAACAGTCAGTGTCGAGCTTTTTTACGGTCGTGACTGTTTTGCTGAAGTAGGGCTCTTGAATTTATTCTTTACCTTTGGTTATAGTGCATATTCAAATCATGTAAGAACATACTATACTTTTGAATTAAATTATTAGTTTTTCGCGTAATCAATCGAGAGAATTAACTTTTTTGCAGATTAGGTGATCAAATGATTAGAGAAACAACTTAACCAGCAATCCTCTCATAAGATAAAGTGAGAGGCATGTCAAAAATAAATGTAATGCAATTCTTATTCTTTTAAAAGAAAGATGATTTTAAAATCCAATTACCTGGAATGGACAAGAGGCGTGCAACTTTTTTCCCCAATGAGGAGAAGTGTGTGAGACAATTGAATATGTAAAAAGCCACTCCAGCGAAGCAAATTTCAGTTTTCATAATGTACAAACAGAACGTAGAGTAGTGATAACCTAAGAGACTCGAAACGTAACTACTTACTGTTGTATAGTTAGTAAATGATAGGGAAGACATCCGAGTAACTCTTTGGCTGTTTTGTACCAAAAAATTTTTCAAATTTTTAGCAAAATACCATTACTTGGTCAACTTACCCTAGTGTGAGAAAGCTAGGCCATGATATCGCCTCATTAAAATCAAAAGGAACTTATTAAAGATACATATGAATAGAACATTTTACTCTAATAGATTGCTAATGTAGTAAGCTTTTTGATATGTAGCGAAACACTTGGGTCCTTTTGTTTTTGGTGGACACGAAAAAATTTCCAATGGAAGGTGGCAGCAGATATTACTTAAAAATACTGGTGGAATGCTGACTCTCATTTTTATGATAGTTGAGAGGTGGCAGCAATTATTATGTAAATTCAGGTTGAATGCTGATTCTCGTTCTTAAAATAGTTGAGAGGTCCTCTAGTGAAATCAGCTAGTACTTCCTTTGCTCTCTAGAGACGTTCACATGCAGTATAGCTTTCCCAATCAAGTAGCCAGACACAACCAAACCAAAATATTTGTTGACAACATTCTTTCTTGCATGTCTGCCTCTGAATGGAGTGGAAAATGTGTATTGTTTATCAGTTATGTATAAGCAAATTACAATTGTTTTATTTAAATGGTTGATATAATTTATTGCACTTAATTGCTTATTTTGGATACATATCGGTATATTTTCTATTTAGGTGTGGTGATACGTATTCATGACTAAGACGATCACATTGATTTTATTCCAATGTAATGAGCTAGGGTTCCTTGTAGTAGATGGGTAAATAATAGAATGGGGTGAATCTGGATAATGAATCATGAAATTATGAAGATGCATGAATGGTTGCAAAAGCATTATGTATGAAGCGTTCCATAGGTAATGTCGCTCTCCTTTTGTTTATTTGTTTGATGAATGAAATTGGACATCTTTGCCAAGCAAGATAGTGTTTCTTTTAGAGAGAGAGAGAGAGAGAACAGCTCCGTTCGTGAAGCCTATGAAAATGAGGGATGGCTTATGAGAAATACCTGTGTCTCTAATTCTCTTATCATTTCCACACTTTTCCATTAGGTGTCTATGGAGATTTGTTAGTTTTCATGAAGGAAAAGGATCAGCGTCCAGGAACATTTTTCTACTATTTTGTGTATTGTCTCGGGAGAGAAGATGAGAGGTAGCCAGTTTAAATCTTTGAGATACGCTTGCACTTAGTGTGGAGAGTGGCTGAAGGTTTTGCCCCCAAGGAATCTTGACGCACTTAATGCACTGTGGTAGACTTAAGATTTTGCGTGCAGTAATATTGCGAATCAGTCTTCAGTAAAATTTCCGTTTGTTGGTGTACATGCGTTTGTTAAGATTAATTTCACCCTTAATTACCAATCGAGTGACTGAAGGTTTTTAATTTACTGTATATGGAGTAGATGAGATTTTATCACATTTGAACATACAGCTGTACTGCATATCCTAAATAAGATTATGGGTCATTAATTATACACATTTTAAAATCATTTATCTTGAGAACTCTCTGACGCATATAATAATCTGTTAGATTTGAGGGTAGGTAAGTATGCCATGGTAGTGACCGTGCACTTGTAAATTCTGAAAAGTGACCGGTTTGAGCAACTATTATAATGAAGAGTATTCTTAGTTTAATGCAATGGATGAATAAGCCATTTGAAGGGAATGAACGGATCACACGAATCCTTTTGCAGGCTGTATCCTGTCTTGTCCACTGATTGTTTGGTTGCTGGTTCTTGTGAAGCTTAATTCTGTGGTTTAACTTCTCAGCACAGCACTAAGTTTGAGCTCTTGTGAGTTTAGCAGTCAAATATTTGGCTTGAATTGTGATCATGTTCTCCACTTGCAGCTTCTGCATTTGCTCCTGATTTCACCATCATATCAGCTGGATTTGATGCTGCGAGGGGTGATCCCCTAGGGTGCTGTGATGTAAGTATTAATTCTGGTTAGATTTTTAGTTAATACTCTAAAATAGGTAAAGAAGTTACATGACTGCTCATACTAGCAGTATGGAAATATTTTTATTAGCTGACGCACCTTCAAAATGTTATAACTTCCATGAGAATATTTTTGCCTTCATTCTGTTCTCTATTATTTTGATGATCCAGATTTTTTCAATTCTACGGATGATCGCATTTTAGATGTCGTCTTGTGGAGGGTTTTGATCCTTTGGCTTTTTCTCCCACTCTTATTGGGTGAAAGGATCAAATTTCTTATTGTTTCGTGATTCATGTGACATGAATCAATGTTGTAGGTTACTCCAGCTGGCTATGCACAGATGACACACATGTTGAGTGCTCTTTCTGGTGGGAAGTTGCTTGTCATTCTAGAGGGAGGGTACGTGTTCTATTTTGTTCTTTAAATATGATCTTCTCCCTTTTGTATGGTTGATGTTCTGGTCTGGTAATCTCAGTTATACTCAATAATGATTTGCAGTTACAACCTTCGTTCGATCTCCTCTTCTGCTGTGGCGGTTATTAAGGTGAATGTGTTTTCCATCAGCCCAATGTGTACTTGCGTGTCAGTTTGTGATGTGGCTTGCATTTATGAAGTTGTGCTTGGGTTTTACATTCATATAATGTTAATTAGTCGATATTTTAAGCATAATCAGCTCATGGTTGCGTTACTCTAATATGTGATCTCCCCTCTAGCGGCAGGGAGTTATGATTACTGTAGCATATGCTGTTGTGTCTTTTGGTGTGAATCTATATTAATCTGAGTTGTCTCTGTTGGAAAAAAAGGTGTTACTGGGTGAATATCCTATATCTGAATTTGCGGACGTGGTGCCCTCGAAAGCTGGCTTGCGTACTGTTTTGGAAGTCCTGAAGATTCAAATGAGCTACTGGCCTAGTCTTGAATCCATTTTTTGGGAATTGCAGTCACAATGGGGAATGTTTCTTGTTGAAAACAGAAGTAATGAGCATCTCGCTTGCTCTCTCTCTCTCTCTCTCTCTCTCTCTCTCTCTCTCTCTCTCTCTCTCTCTCTCTCTCTCTCTCTCTCTCTCTCTCTCTCACACACACACACACACACCTGCACGCGCACGCGCGCGCACAGCTCATGCTTGCTTTGAGTTATATTTCACAATTTGATAGCTTCTTGGTGAGATGCTTATAATTCCTATAAAATCATTTAGATAATAGAGTGGGGAATTTCGGTCCTCAATTGATAGGTAACGGATTAAATCAATTTTGAATTTCTATGTTCCCCAGAAGTAAGTGAGATCATACTTTGGACTTGTGGCAGTCTGACAATCTGGACATGTAGGAAGAATCCCAATAGGAGTTATCAAACCTTCATTTTGTATATAATTTTACCATTTTGGAAGTAAAGGCTTTTGGACAACAAACTGTGCTGTTGTCAAGTTAAATGATTCTTTCTCAGTGGAGATCATGCTCAAAGCCCTGAACTGCTTTGGACATTATTAACTGCAGGAAAACAGATCAGAAAGAGACGACGGGTGTTGGCGCCAATATGGTGGAAATGGGGTCGGAAAAGTGTGTTGTATCATCTCCTAAACGGTCATCTTCATGTGAAAACGAAGCGGTGAATGTCTAGCCTCTGGTCTGTGTACTCTTCCTTTGTGCAACTTTTGTATACCATCAGCTGGCAGTCCTCTTTTATCCGTGGAAGAGACTCTCGTGGTGATTTTGACAACCATCACATTGTAAATCTAGGTTAACCTTTGTTAGAGTAGAGCTCCTTCTGATCAAGCATTTAAGAGAGAGGAATGGTCAACGGCCTTCGTTTTATGTTCAAATGCTCAAATGTTGATGATTTCAACTTTTTGGGGAGCTTGCTTTTTGCATGAAGCTCAGATTGGATCGAGAATCATACCGATTTTGTTGGGGCAGTCAGATGCATATGATTATGTGTGATAAGTAGATCAGGTCAGAAACAGTGGTCTTGACTCTTGAACTTTGTGGGCACTCTCTTCCCTGCTTCAGAGGGTAACTCCTCGAGGTCGGGGAAAATGTCAACGGATCTGCTTCTTTGAGTTCATTATTCTCTTTTCGGCCCTTGGGATTAGAAACTTTCCTGGTTTTTTTTTTTCTTCTGGTCTGGTACTGTCCTATTCGATTTTTATTTTACAAGCCACTGTGTGCGCGCTATGTGCTGTCTGCAGATTTTGAATTCGTGCTCCTTCACTCACACGTCCCCACCCCAGCTCTCCTTGAAAAGGTTAGGAATCGAACTCCTCACCTTTTCTTTCCCAAGTGGGAAGGATGGGCGCTAGGGCAACCCCCAATGGTTAGAAACTTTCCTGGTTGAGAAGATGTATCTTGTTGCCAAGTGCGATTGGTCTTTTCATTAACTACTTGTGGATGCAATTGTGTTGTAGGCTTCTCCTGCTCTCTCAAAATCTCATTTGCTAAGTAGTGTATTATAGGTAAAGGCTTATATTTGAATTAAGTAGATCTAATTGTGGACCTGGTTCAGCCTTTTTAGTGGCCGGGTAGATCTAATAATTTGGATAAACGAAAAGAGGACTTCCATCGCCAAGTTGAGACTTAGATAGGTTTTAGGTCTGGCTCGGGCATAATTCGATCATGCATTGGGCCTGGTTGGCCTCAATGGCCCGATGGGCCTCGTGGGCCTGAATGGGAGATTGTTGTTGATATTGGCGTGATGGCCATGTTGGGCCTGGTAACCTAAACTGGTCTGATTGATGACACTGGGCCTATTGGACCTAACAGGAATGGTGGGCCTGATTGGCCATGTTGGCCTCGATGAGCTTGAATAGCCATGTTGGGCCTAATTGGGCCACGTTGGGCATAATATGAGGTTTGGTTGACCTAAGTGGGCCGTGAGCCTACATGGCCTGATGGGCATTCTTTGACACAAATAAGTGGTGGGCCACGTTGGGCCTGGGACGGCCCAACTGGTTCTCTCAAGCCAATAATTGGGCCTTTTCTCCAGACCTAGCGGTTGCCCCAGGACCAACAATGTTAAAAAATTGCGAAATCCAGGGCGCACCTAGTTTTTTTAACTCGTTATAAAGTGTCAGGTTTTCACTTCAGTCTTTTAAGTAAAGGTTTTGCACCTCATGCTCATTGTGGTGACCACATGTCCCCAAGTTCCTCCGTAATCTGCAGTTTATGGTTATCAGAACACCAGAAAAAAGTGCCTCAACTTCATCCCTAGATGACGAGTAAACGTGCCCATAGTTCTGGCCTGATCCCAAGAAAATATCTTTCGATAAAAAGAACATACCAAAATGAAACAAAAAATCCCTGAATTTTGACCAATGTATAATGTGTCTATTAACTTTTAATTTATTTAATATGATCTTTAAACTATTTGTACATGTTTAATTTAATCCTTACACTACATAAAAATATTCAATATTATCCTTGAACTTAAATTAATAAAACGATAATATTAAACATTTTCATATATTTAAAAGATTAAATTGAACATGTTCCAAAATTTCAAAAACCACATTGAACAAATTAAAAATTCAAAAACCACATTGCATATTGAGATAAAATTCAAAAATTACACAGCACATTGAGCTAAAGTTCGAAAACCATTTGTCATTATCCCAAAAAATATCTCCCAACAACCGGAGTAGAAAGCATTTGCTTCTCTTAGCCCTAGTGAAGAAACAATCACATAATCTTGACCACCTTAATTACAAGTTCATATTCAAAACATGTCCATTAACTTCTCTTTTCGAGTGTCCTTGTGTTTATGGCTACACAGCACGTTAATGATCTACACCAACTCTACATGCACATGCAAGGGGCTTACATCTGCTATGTGGAGACTTTTCGCTAATACACCATCTTCGATGATTTCTCAGAGAACCAATCTTAAGAGCAAAAGGCACACAATGCTGAGACAGTAGTTTGGCCCAAAAAGAGAAGCTAATGAGACATTAGAATCGAAAGAGAAATTCCAAATTCATCCAATATGGACGCCATTCCAGAGTCGTATTGATATGACCAACCATCTTGAAGGATTTCCATCCGACAAGTTCTTAATTTTCCTTCGTCCTTTAGGTTCTGTCAAAAGGACGTTAAAAGATACCAAGAAAGCTTTCATGAAGCGATGATAGAGCAAAGCCATTCGGCACCTCCGCTATGCTACAGCGGAAAAGAGTCAAAAACAATCTGAGTCAGTTTCCAAAGCATATCGAAAAGAAAAAGTAACATAGTTTCAATTAGTCTCACCTCAATACAGACTTATTAAGCCATCCCAAATTCATTGAAAGAACAGGTATGAGATAACAGTGGAATTGTCCGTTCCTGGCATTGTCAAAACCTTCCTACAACACCGATTAACTTTGACCTGTACAAACAGGTGAGCAGGCAGATCTATCACTTAACCTAAGATACGAGAAGATGTGCGGTCTGTGGATTCATAAGTAGAAGTTCCTGCATATCCTTGGGGAGCACATTGAAGATCGCCAGCAAATCTCCCTTCAGTTTCTCACAAGTTGCTTCGGTGTCTGCACTTCCGTCCTGGACATATGACCAAGGAAAACAATTGTTACACTCAGTTCGCACCATCCTCAATTTTAAAGAAAACAGATTCCTCAACTTTACTGTCAGAAGAACCATCAGCATAAAAGTCCTACATTTGGCTTGTTTTTACTTGGGAAACAACCGAAGAAATCGCTATTCATTGATTAAGCTTATGACTAAAATAAAAGCATAATATGCATCTCAACGTTCTGGCTGTCATTAGAACTATATAGAGTGGCTTTTTTAGGTTGTGGCTGTTTTACTTGACAATTTATAGCTTTAAGGTATGACTATCGCTTTTACACAATTTTAGTAGTGTTGCGAACAACTTTAGAAATGGCTAAGTTGTACTTTCTGGCTTCCCACAAAAAAGGAAAAAGAAACAACACAAGACCTTAAATGCGATTGTCCCAATATATATTATTGTTGAAGTATTGTCCCACATTGCTTAAGAACAGATCCTAAATGCTCTTTATATTCATTTGGTCTCTCTCTACCCATCAACTTAAGCTTTTGGGTTGGATTTTCTAACATGATATCAGAGCCAGTGCTATCCCTCTTGAGAACGTGCGTGGTAAAAAATTCCACATGAATGTGTGTAGTCAAATATTCCTATTGTCCCATGGGTCATAAATGCTCTTTATACTCACGTATCTCTCTACCCCTATCAGCTTAAACTTTTGGATTAGACTTTCTAACAATTATCCTATACTTTTAATCACAACAACACAAAAGTAGATTTCCTATTATCTGATTTTGAACGTTAAACCGATGGTGGACCCATGGAGCTACTGCCCTCTCCAGCCACTAGATTCCTGTCAATTATCCTGTGAAAACTTTATGCGTACTTTCCCCTAAAAAATAGTAAGATTATTTTTCATCTCGCCTCCTCAACTTACCTCCGCGCCTCCCTAGACCTAAACCCACGTTAATTTGTAACTTCAACAGTTGCCTATTTATAAGTATCTCATGAGGATTGCAGATGAAAAAAAGAACTGTTCCCACCAATTTGAGTTCAATGTCCACTTTCTAATCCATCTGTAAACCTAAACCGACCAGCCACATGGGGCTTCCTAATCAATTTTATTTTTCCCACACACTTTGGCTTATTAATTGAAGAGATGAAGTTATGTTCTTTTTTCCACAAGAACATTAATCAATTTCCCAAATCAAATGTGGAGATTCTACAAGCTTCACTCTATCAAAAATCAGGACCGGGGAAGGGATCAACTTCAACTCCGTGTTTAGGGAGTCCTAAGTTCATCAGAATCCTGGTTGATGTTTTAGAAGCTTAAGTCAAATATCATTTAATTGCAAAGTTCGCCATCTTCTTAATTATTAATCCCCATAATTATTAATCCCCACATATGTATTAAATATTACGAATTTGTTTATTGAAAAGCTCAAGTATATTAATCCCCAGCAAGTTGCTAGGTTTAATTTATCTTCATTACTTATCCCCTTTTCCCACCATTATTTATGCTGCACTCTACTTAAATTACTTCCAACCCATATATACAGAATATATGGCTGGGCTTATTATGAAGTTGTAGCTAGGATGACGGGTTTCTAACCGATACAATTCCAACTGTTCTAGATGGCGTGCTATTTCATGAAGCTGTCTACTTTTCACTTGCTACATATCTACTTTCTAGAGTTGCTATGAATGGGGATTTGAATTAAAATTGGATTCAGAATATATCATGAAGATGAAATATCTAAAAGGTAGCTACGGAGTAGGGGTGAGCGGTTCCAGGTTCCTTACAGGATTCCTTACAGGTTCTACTTGGAACCTAGAACCTACCCTCGAGTACAGATTCCTCATTTTTTGGAACCTGGAACCTACCCGTCGGAACTTGGAACTTGGAACCTTGAACCTACCCTATCACAGGTTCCGAGGTAGGTTCAAGGATCTAACAAGTTCTTTTGAATTTTATTTCATTATGAAAATGAACGCAACAATACTGAACAAGCTTGTCATTCACCAAAAAAAATACCAAAGACTAGTTTTCCTAGCATTACGGTTCAAATAAATACAACTAAAATGAGAAGTCATTGTCTGAATCGATATTAGGGATGAACGGTTCTATATTCCGCATAGATTCCACCTAGAACCTATTCATGATAATAGATTCCTCATTTTTTAGAACTTGGAACATACCATATCACTGGTTCGAGGATCGGTTCCAAGGTCTACCCAGGTTCCACCTGTATCATTAATTGAACAATTGCAGTGAATCATCACCTTTAATGACCACCACTTACTGCTATGATCTACTGACCACAACTTATATTTAGACACACGAAGAATAGTAAACATTAACAAGTCATAAAACGAAAATTCAGACTAGTAGTTCTAGATTATACACTCATCATCTAACACTATGAAACACCGCGTGATCACGCAAAGACATAGATCAAGAAAAAACACAAAAAACTCGTTTAGGTTTCAGGTTCCAGGTTCCACCTACCTAAAACCTTAAACCTACCCGTCAAAACAGGTTATCCAATTTTTGGAACTTGAAACCTACCCTACATACCTTGGAACCTGGATCCTACAGGTTCCCACCGGTCAGGTTCTCCGGTTTCAGGTTCTACTCTGGAACCATGCTCACCCATATGTACTTCACCCAAAATATGGTCCATCAAGAGGAAAGTCACTTTTGACTTTGTAAAATACAGAGAAGAGGACCAAACATTTCCTGCTAATGTTTCATGATATCGATACGTAATAATCTACTTACACGTTGAATTCATTCATCATTCATTCTGTAAATATCTAATTTGACACATCCGTTTGTTTATAAGAATAGGCTATTTTAAGTATTTATCTATCGAGTTTAGTAAACCAAGAGCTTAAAAAAACCTTTTAATAATTTTTTAACAACTTCAAGAAAAGCAACCAAAGGCTATTTTTATTTAAAGGGAAAGCATCATGCTAAGAACTCAGTTGTATAGACTCAAAGCAAGTTCTCGGTAACCTAGCAAACATCACTTTTCATGTCCATATAATTAATTTCCAAGAGCCATTGGATGTCAAAATAAATCTACGCAGATAATCTACAATATGCTGACACCATTCCATCTCTTGAAGATTTCCCCTAGAAATTCTGAGACAATTGCCTGACCCTAAATGCTCGTCGTATTGGACCAAAACTAACCACGATTCATTATCTTTGATGGCTTGGTACTGCCAACACATCATATATATGTCTATGATGGCTAAAAAAGCAGTTTGTGAGTTACATTATAAGTTACTTGGGCCTCCAGCTTGTGGCCAACGAGGTGCATATGGAGGTACACCTGATGGAACTAATGCCTCTCTCATGATATTTCAAAGAAGCTCTGCGGTTAACTTTCACAAAATGCCTTTCAAAACTTCTACCATTTTCTTTCTTTGTCGGCACCAAAAGGTATATATATAGACACACTGAAGATCAAGGTATGTGATTAAATCCAATAGCAGCCCTATCCCTAGCTGCGGTATACAAGCATTGCTAGTGATCCACATTCACATGAGCCTATACCTAAGATCCTTTTAAACCTAAAGAAGTGCAATAAAAGAAAAGAGAGAAAATAAAACCACGCCTCTAAAAGCAGGAGATACCATTGGTTATGTGGATGATATGGGAGCATTTTCTCTATTCAATGACTCATTCTTGAAACTCCAAAATATAGCATGAGAAATTTAACAGGAACCTCCGCTTTTTAACACGAGCAAAGGGAAGAAAGAAATTGTTAATCATTGCATTATTAAAAGCACATATGGGCAAGAGAACTCGACCTGAATTTCACCACGAAGATGCCTTTCGATAGCATTAAAAGAATCGACAATTTCAATTTCAGTCATTTTAGAGATGAAATGTTGTATGTCAGTCTTCATTCTTGCCTGCCTCCACAGTCTCTGCTGTTCTTGCTCGGCCACAGCACGCCTTCGCTGAAACCACGGCAAAAAGTTGGGTCCTCTCAAAAAGCGCCTGTATCAAAAGCAATTTGAGCATGTTTCTATTTTTCTTTTTCCATTTTCGGTTAAGTGAAATTTGAGCATATATTTCCGCGCATTTAAAATACAGACCACTTAACCATGCTCTCGGAAAGAAATGCAAATTGACTTACCTGTACAGGTCGAGCCAATTAGATTTCATCCTCTTTGTTAAGAACTTCCCTGGTCCTCGAGTTGATAAAATTCCTAAAAACTCATCAGTGCTGAATGGGGGAAGAGGAGGAGGATCAACAAAAGGAGAAGTTCCTTCCGATGGTGTGGTAGCTTTGAAGTATGGGCCAAAAGGAGCTAAAAAATTAGTAGTGAGCTCCAAGAAATGCCTGCGCAATATCTCGTTGTTAACAACGGACATTGACTCCTCAACCCGGGGAGACATGCCCGCATCAATTAATCTATTCAAAATAGAAGTGTCGGGCTTGGTTATTGCGGAGTAAGTGCTCCAAACAGCTTCCTTGTGCTCTGTCATCAGACAAAGAGGACCATCTCTTCTCAATTTTACAGCATTTAACAAACTAGAAGGAGAAAACTTCTTCAGAGAGAGTTGCTGTAGACCAAATCCATCAGGTCTCCCAGGAATTCTGCCAGTAGACCTACTTGCTATGGGAAGGCGATTTGAATTAGGAGCTGGACTTCCCACCGACACAATATGTGGAATGTTCTGTAGAGCTTTCAGGAAAAACAGATTTGTCACACCCAATACCATCGGAGGGAAAGTGTCTCCTTCCTGAAGACTGTTCAAATGGGCAAACTCTGGGTCGTGGATGGTAAAATAAGGCCTGAAATCAACACTACAGAGGAGTGGCGCAACTAGACTAACAAGACAAGCAACAGCCTCACAACATTGAGGAGGAGTTGGTGCTATTATAAGAATGGGTTCCCCAATCAGTAGCAACTCCCACAGTACCCAAAGCTGCAGGAGGATTCCCCTAAATACTCCGAAAATATCTGAATCGTGAAAAAGACCCTGTGGCACAGACTGGTTCGTTGGCAGAAGAGGAGCCATCGAAGATGCAGACTCTTCAAATGCTGCCCCGCTTTCTGAAGGTAAACAATGAGCAGGTGGTAAGTTTACTTTTAGTGCAGCATTTCCTATAGGGAGCTCCATGAGTCTTCCTGGTGCTGGAGAAGGCCAAAGAGAAACAAAAGCAGCAATATGCTCAAGAGCTTTTGTTCCAATGTCGAAATACAGAGGACCCATAATTTGCAACAGAGGTCTAAATACACTAGAGAAGGGGTTCTGTGACAAAATCACAACAGATTTCTGTTCTCCACCTCTCTTTAGCCTCTCATCATGTCTCTGTCTATTAAAAACATAACCATACATGTAGGTATCATTCGAGCTGTTACGGTTCAGCACCTTGGGTAGTCCTTCCTTCCCGGACCGCACGGATGACTCCCTATCATCAGCTTCAGTTATCTCAGACGAAGATACATTACTCGATTTACGTCTCTTTTGCCTCCTGAACCGGAAGAAGAACATGCAGTCGTGAATGCTAGACCGGTTCTGGTGCTGAGATACGGAATCTGGGAACGACTTATACGCGATTTCAAGCTCCTCATCTTGCGAAAGACAACCGGGTGGGTAACACTCCTCGATGAGCTGGCCTTGCTCAAGATCGAACCTGATAATGCAGAAGGCGACTACCCATTGCCGCAGCGACTCCGGATCGAGCTTCGGACTGAGTTCGGACTTCACAGAAAACGAAGGCGACCGACTCATTTCCAGGTTACCTCAATGCTACTCACACGCAATAGCAGGCGAATCACCATCCTCCTCACCCGCCATTCCCACTACCAAGAGGAACCCACAGCTGCACAATAAAGATTCATGAGAAGGGCTCAAAAACCAAACACTACCACAGATTCCAGATTCTTGGGTCAGCCACACTATGACGAACGCTGCGAAGCACGCCCATAGAAGGAACGGGCGGTTCAACTAACCACCACGCTCGACGAAAAACAAGTACCCTGCTCTGTAAAACGACATTGGATCCGAAAACCTAGAAACAAGCAAACCAGAACGAACCGCACGAACACGCGATCCCAATCCGGCGGAACGACACGAACCGAGCAAGCGGGCGGCGACCCAGTTCGACGCGGATCGCGGCAACGACGGCCGGAATGAGCCGGAAAGCGGGAAACGGGTGTCGCCGGGGAAGAAGAAGAAGAAGCCGAAGCCGCCGCCGCCGCCACCCCGTCGCCGGAAACGGGACCGAATCGAGGCGGCGTTGAGGTGGTCGGAATCGGGATTCAGTGCGAGGTGAGATTCGACGGCGAGAGAGGATCGATGTTCGATGGGATGCGTCCGGTTTTCCGATTTTGGGGGACAAGAGAACAAACGGAAAGAAGGGAGGATTTGAACTTTGCTTCTTCACCCTCTCTCTCTCTCTATCTCTCTCTCTCTCTCTTCTTCCGTGCCTGCGCGGTAAGCAATAGGTATAAAACCGGTCGAATTATTCTTTCTTTCCTCACTTTTAATTTATTCATGGGTGTATATATTTCTTGAAAAAAAAATTATTTGAAATATACTTTTATCAGCGAAAATTACTTTTATCTTTCACGAAAATGTTTAGACAAATTATTGTCGATAATAAAAATATTTTTATATGACTAATCATTTTAAGCAATATGAACGATTATTTTTAGGAAAGTGTTATCCCAAATCATTCATTTTTCGAAAAATAGATGAGTCTTGAATTTTAGGATGGATGGATCGAAAGTCCCAAAAACTCGTCACAAGAGTGCAAATAGTCAGAAAATTTTTCAATTGGTAAAATTAAATCTTAAAACTTGTCAAATTGATACTTCCAAATTCGATTGGTAGCTCCATTTTTCTAGTGATTAATTCTAACAGAATTATTTGATATTCCTTTGTGCTAATGGCACTGACGTGGCTTCAAATCGGAAAAAAAATCCTAAAAACTTTTAACCAAAAGCAAAGCATGGAAAGAAAAAAGAAAAAACAACCCCAATCATGGGTTCATCAGGGGCCTTGAGAAGGTGAGGCCCCTCAGCTATTGCCATGAGCAAATGAGGGCTTGTTGGCCCTTGCCACATGAGCATCGGTCAGGCCACCTGACATTGTTGCCAAGGCGAGCCGATCCTCACCTGATGGTGGCGCCTCACCACCATTGTGGACGAGGGCCAACAAGCCTTGGCTTAGATCTAGGCAAGGGCCTGCACGCCCTTCATTATGGCCGACGACCCTCACCAGCCGATACTAGCAATGATGGGGCCGCCCCATCCGAACCCTTAACGGTTCCCAACAGTTTTGCTTTGGTTTCTATATTCCACTCTTTTTTCTTACATTCTGTAACAAGGTGTGTATATACACAAGGAAAAGAACCCAATGGATGAAGGGGACAACGGCCAATGGCCGCTGCTTGGTCGGCAGCTAAACCTGTTTTGTTTTTTTTTGGTCAGCAGCTAATTCGAGCCCACTAAAATATACCTATAAAACATTACCTGCCGTAAGACATCCTCAACATTACAAAATTATAATGACAGTGAACTTTATAAGAATTAGTATAGTGGGCCTGCAATGAAACCACATGGCCATGGTAAGGTTCAAGAAAAAGACAGCAAATATCGAGTCCCATTTAACACAACAATCCCGCGTGCAATTAAAGTCAGGAACGGCCGAAAGAGAACCAAAAAACTTCGCCTCTAATAACTATTCCATATAACATATTTGCAACAGGAAAACACAAATTGGAAAGGAGAATGCTGCTTCGAGGGAAGGAGAGAAACTGTATACCCGAGGTTGCTGGCAATCTTACCCTTCGGGTCCACATGACTCACCCATTAATATTCATCAGGAGCAACATACCAGCAGATATAATGGGGCTCGCCCATAGTTACACGTGCATATAAACACGTGTAAGTGATATAATCGACTAGAGGGATTCATCATTCAATCCCTCTTGTCGATTACTTACATGAGAGAGAGAGAGAGAGAGAGAGAGAGAGAACTACATACAGCAAAGAGGAAGTAACACGTGCATATAAACACACAGGAGAGGCCCGTGGAAGTACCACAGCCACCAAAAATGGTAGGGCATTACCTAAGTTTGAGATTTGCATTGCATCTATAATCTTCAGGCAGAAGCAATAACCCGGTACCTATGCTCTCACCCTGAGCTGGCTTGTTGCACGTCATTCAAAAAAACGAGCTTCGCGAAAGTGGATTGATAAGTTGTGACCCAGCGGAATGCTGCCTAAAAGAATTGCTGAAGCCAGCGACAGTCTTTTGTATCTTTCTCCAACTCATCCCTCAATTTGCCTACTTGTAGCAGAGCCTGCTTCAAGTCCATTGTCTCTACTGGAAGATCAGAGAATTCCTTCAAGAAGCGATGAGCTCGAGCAGCACCTTTAGACATGTCATCAAGATCAGAGTCTCTCTTTCGTTTCAGTCCCTCCTGTCAATCACAGAAAGCTTGAGGATTAACAATTTTGAACATTACGCTATTACTTCCTCACCAGTTACTCAAGCCCCATAAACACTCGCAGAAGAATCCTTTTAAGACAGTGTTAACTGCTAAGGAACTACAGATACTTGCTATCCAGAAATTAATGAAAACAATGAAAAAGATAATTACATCGATTTCTATAAGCAGATCTTAAGAGTAATGTATGACATATCTCATAACTAGTAGTCTACTGATTCACATGTCCCAGTTCTCTCTTCACAGCTACTTATATAATATATATTTTGCACCCTGAGGCTTTAAAGAACCTACACTTCATACCTTTCGGAGTCCTAGAAACTTTAGAACATGAAGGTTTGTAAGGTATAGATTTGTTTTTTGAAACCTCAGGGAGCTAAGTGAATTTTGAAAATAAAGGGTGCAAATATAAGTTTTAAAACTAGTATACAATTTACAAAGTGTAACAGGAGTGGAAAGTCTGAGGATAATTTTTGTAATTGAAATATTAATAGGAGACAGTATTAACCTTTACGTGAAAATGGATGAATCTAGACGTTCTTTCCAGATAAAGACTACTACATCTGCAATAAAAGACATAATTCTCTTCTCACAACTCCTGCAAGACTAGAAAGGGAATACCTTTTCTCCAGGGTCATTTAAAATGACTGCAGCAGGTGAGAAATCCTCTAATTCCGCGGCCTTTTCTCTTGCGAGTGCGACAACACTTTCAGGAAAATTTGCAAACTCAGCAACATGAATACCAAAACTTTGATCACAGGCCCCTGGCTCAACCTGGAATAAGTCATCAAATGAGGCATACTTGTGGAGATAATTCAGTTTAAAAAGTAAACAGAAGACTTTAAATCAACCATCCAAAGTGAAAAATGCCACAAGCTCAGGAAATTGATAAAATGGACATGCCAACATATTAACAGATATACATAATTCTTTATTGGGCGACTAGTACAAAACACTGCTCTGTAGGAATAACAACTAATTCATACAGCAAACAGAAAATTCACTAAAACGTGTCAACAGAAGGACACAGACAACATGATGAGCGTGACTGAACGTCTGAAAACCATATTAACAGCGGCAATACATAGTTGGGCTATTATCTGGAGCAACTCAATTTGTGAAAAAAAGAAATCTATCTACAATGCCCTACCTTGTAAAGCATGGTCAGCTTGCGATTTAACGAGTCAATGTGTGCACTGACATGATAATTTGCCACCCCAACAACTTGCTTCATATTAGTTTCATGAACATTGTTTTCATCGGCTAAGGCAGTCAGTTCATGGAAGTGAGTTGCAAACAAAGCCGGAGCTTTGATAACCTCAACAAGGTACTCACATATGGCCCACGCTAAACCTGAACAGGATGGAAGGAGATATAATAAGGATAACATATCATTCAGAGAGCAACATAGGAGCAGATACAGAAGTCACATGTACGTCTGGATCACTATGCACAAATAGAAGTATCACTCTAGACTCCTATCCACCAGACCTCCAGGGCGAAAAACTTACAATAGGAAGCTACCTGACACCTAGAGCATGTGTCCACCCACAATATGTAAGAGATATGGAGATTATAATATGTGATAGATATGCGGATTGTCAGTAGCTACCGTCCTATGTTATTCAGATCATCCATCAGATGTAGGCACGTAAAATCATTTAGATTCATTTCAATGCAATAATATGCTTCTTCCATCATGAATTTACTGCTACCAGAATGCAGACGAGTGCTATGGATGTATCCAACATCTGTTCTTTCAGTTGTGGACCTCCTGTTACACATTTCAATTCCACGATCTACTAATGAATTTGTTCTACCCTAATTTCATTAAATAATTCATGCAATTGTGATTAAATCAAACAACTAAATGTTCACTCATTATAACCTACATTCTAATAAGCATTTTTTTGGCATATCATATGCCTACGTGATAGCCTGCAGTAAAGTAATTTGTTGGTGGAATTAAACTTCTATGTGAAATTAGGAAAGTTTCCATAAAAATGACAAACTTTAACAAGAAAATATAATGTTTGCTCATTGTTTACTGCAAAGAAATAGAAGGAATCGATTCCACAACATTGAGCTGTGACGAGTTTGACAGGACATCTTGTATAATGAACTGAAATTGAACACAATTACCACCCCCATTTCCTCTTTCTGGGGGCACTGAATTTATCTTACGGTGACCCTAATGAAGAATCAAAAGCTTTTTTATGCCACAGCCACTCTTTAGGGCAGTTACGAATTTTTTGTTCTAACCAATGCTCAATGCAGGCTAGATTTATTGGTTCCAGAGAGATTCACTCTCTGACCAAAAGCAAAAAGACTTACAATCTTGTAGACTTGCTGAATAGATTCTCTCTCTTGTTTTATCACTATGTTTAAGGGGCACAACGGTTGCTGTGCAATCAGAGCAAAAGGCTCATATACAGTCAAGGATTCATATCTCATCATCCAAAATGAAAAGAGAAGAATCTCATACTTGATATGTGATATCTTAAAGATCCTAAGTCCTAACTGCAGTAATCTAGATCTTTACAGTTCACAATTACTGAATACACGAGTATGAACATAATTTGAGCGCACGCGCCCGCACGCACGCAGAGACACAGGCACAGGAGGGAGGGAGGGAGGAAGGGATTTATAGACAAGAACCAACCAAATCCGTCGTAAGTTGAAGTCCCACGACCCAACTCGTCAATGATTATCAGCGATCTATCGGTAGCTCCTTTCAGGATTGATGCTGTTTCAAGCATCTCTTGCATAAAGGTGGAAACTCCACGCAGCTAGAGAGATGGAGAAGATACAAAATTAAGAGTTGCAAGACAAAGTCAACCAAGGTAATTTATTTGAAAAAGATCAAAAGTTTTCAATCAAGAATAATAACAGAAAGATCATTGAAGCTGCAAAAACTACATAGTCAAGGAGCAAAGACAGACTACAGTCAGAAAGGCTTGGATACTTGAAATACAA